GGGTATTCATAGTAAATGACATTATTTCATTCAATATTTTCTAAAATAACCAAAAGTCAAAACAGTAGTAAAGAATGTGTTCAAATTTAACATGTTTTGACCATTATATATTTGGGCTTAGTAGAATACTGTACTTTTATTATATACTACATGTTATCGAATAAACTAACACAAACAAAATTATCTGCATTTACTATACATGTAATGTTTTCCTGTGAGATACAATTTTCCATTAGATTGTCATACAAGAACATAGCATATAACTCTTTCAACATGTAATCCATTGTAACTTGTAACTTATGGAGGATAATTAGGCAGTTTCACCAATCTATCTGAGAATATCTCTACTTATACCTAATTAAGCATAGTTTCGCTATTTACTTAAGTAGCCGTACAATTTATAATGTCAAAATAAAAATACTGAAAATTTGAATGAAAAAATTAACCTGAATCTCGGTTTTTAAGCATCCATGAAGAGCGACAACAGTGTAACCAAACTGACGAATAACAGATCCAACTTTAACATAATGTTGCCATGGAAATCTATGACAATGTCTTGTGTGTCTTGGCTCCCAACTTGCATACAATGCCTATATAAATACATGTAACATGTTCTTATATATGTAACTCTTCACATACCAAATATTTTTTTTTTGAACTGTGAAACAAAATGTTCGATTTAATTAACTTACGAGTGCTTCATCGGTGGATTTAGAATCCAAGACAGTCTTATAACCGTTATAAATCATGTCTTCTGATGTATCGGATGTTTCGTTATCTTTCTCTTCTTCCTCAAAGTACTCGTTCACACATGCTAAGAACCAAAAACACCAAATATTCAACTTAATTAACTGGAACAAAAAAAAAAGAGCCGTTCTCAAAACATTTATCACACAAATTATTACAAAATACACGCATGATCAAAATCAAACTAGCTCTTTCTTTATAACTTTATTGATTCTATATAATAAAAACCTAAACAAAGCGGATGAACAAAATATTTGTGTATGAACTAACATTTAATCATACACAAATATAATATATAATATTTTTCCACTGATGATAATAACTCACGGAAAGTATCATAAATCCGGTAATTCACATTCAAATGTATTGTATCTTAGGTAGGACGTACCTTCGATGGAGCTAGAAAGGCCTTGCAGCTTAGCGACAGTAGACTTATGGAGGTCCTCACCGGACCATATAGGAAAAACCAAAAGGCTCATGAAGAGGCAAATGCCAACACCAATGGCTATAGTGTAGAATCTCTCATGTGCGATCTTAATCACAGTATCAACTCTATAACTCGATACCGTAATTAGATTGAACGTTAAGAGAAATATAAGCATGCCATAATCGTAGTTCTTTTTTATGTTTGGGATGAATCTTAGATATGTTATCGCCGCTCCTGTTAAATAAACAAAACCATTTATAATTAGTACAAGAATGTAGAAACAAAAAAAAAAGCTATAGTTAAGACGTTAAAATAAAATATGTAATTAATTATAGATATCTTATATTCAATTAGAAACAAAATTACATAGACTTCATTCATGTAATTTCAAGTAATTTGGTCCACTTCACTCATGTAATTTCCTAAAATGTATTGAAGATTGAGACTATTCTTTTTGTTCCCAAAAAGTTTTAGGCTTTTTAGGTCCGTAATCTTTTTTTTTTGGTTAAAGGTCCGTAATCTTCGTAGACTTTAGGACCACATCTGATAAATTAGTCTAGTTTCGAGTGACAAGATTCGACCTCTCAAATCAATCTAAAGTACACTTCCTTTTGAAAAGTTCTTGGTTTAAACAGAAGTTCTACGGATTCCTACGTAACTATTTCTTTTTTAATATGGCTACAAGCCTACAACTAAATTTATTTTGGTATACGTAATTATTAGTTTTTTTT